AGCCTCTTCTTAAGGATGCTTGTAGATTTGTTTGTAACACTGCTGCAAATTGTCAAATTGCAAATATCAATCCGCTATTATCACAAACAATTTTTACAGATGGCTATTGAATTTTATAGTCCCTTAGTTAATTGGAGACCTTAGAACAAGTTTCTTGAAGCAACGGAGTTTCTTGTTGTTTTAGAGACTTTAGCAAGAGACTTATTGTTTTTTTTTGCTCACTTCAGAGCTGTAGATTATAGGTAGCATTTTATTAATTATCAAGAATTTTTATTGACACATCAGGTCGTTAAGTTTTCAATACAAATAAAAATTAATGAACAAATACCCTTCGTTATTCAATATTATTAAAATTTATCAATCATAAATATTTTGATCCACCTCTTAGATATGTACCTGTACAAATGATCTCAGAGTTGTGTCGAAATATTTGTAATTAAAAATTTCTATAACATTAAATAGTGTTTTTTGAAAATAATTTTTATTAGTATTATACTTATATACATGTATATTTGTAGAATTAAAAAAAAATGTTTGTTTACATAAAAAATCGAATAAATACCTCTATAAATTTTTTTTATATTAGATCTTATGTTATAAACTTATTTTGTTAACAAAATAAGATTTAAGAATTTAAATACCTCATTTTATTAGACCGCGCATTTTCATTAAAAATATTTTTTAATAAAATTAAATTGAAAATAACAAAATATGTGTACATAATATACTTATCAATGTTATTAATAACGTGTAGTATATAATTTATGATAGGACATACAAATGTACTTAATTATGAAATTCTTATTAAATTAACAAAAATATTAATAAAAATACATTTATGTATTTATAAAAATTAAAAGCAATCAACTACACACAATATAAATATCAAAAATGCACATAAAATTTTATATTCTCATTAAATAAGACAAACGTAATGATCGGTCGTGTTAAAGTTTATGATAGATATATGATTTGATGTTGCATATATAAACTCACTCTTCCTTAGTTGGAAATTTTTCAGCATAAACTCTTGAAGATTTATTGCATGCTTTATCACAACATGGACAGTACCAATAGCTTAAGACACCAATTGATATTGCAAACAGCACATTTGGTATTATCAATGATAATACAAGATGATATAAATTATTTTCCCACGAATAACGTCCTATAACCACTTCTGGATAGGCTCGACTATAAAAGCATGGAAATGGTTCTCCAATATGTGTAAAACTGTTAAATAAAAAATATAATATATATTAGCTTTTCTGGAATAATGAATATATTTTTTATTTTTATTGCCATTAAAGCATATGACCTACCCATACTGTCTCGCGAAAACACTGCAATTTGTTGTTGGCGGATAACCGCAACCCTCAGAATTGATCAGAAATTTAGTATAACTAACGTCCCAAACAACTGTATCCAAATCTTTCGGATTTTTTTCCCATTCATTAAATGGTATTCTTGTATAGTTGACATATAGTTGATGGCACCTAAAATAATTTAAATAAAATTTATTATTAAAAGTGAATGTATATAGTGAATATATTGTATTAACATATATAAATTCTAAAATATTAATAAACAAAATATTTTTTTTTTAACGGGAACATTTTTTTTTGTTTTTTAAAAAATTTTTTTTGAACCAATATTTCGACTATATTCTATAGTCATTTTCAGGATACTTCAGGGTTAGTACCTGATGGTGGTGCTTATTTTAATTAATACAAACTATTATATTTACTGGAGAGGTGAACGACTTGGGTAATGAGCACTGATTCTGAGCTTCAAATTTTGCAGAGTAAGAGTTGAACCCTTGGTACTTGCATTTTGAAAAATTTATTTACGAATAATTAAATATAACAAATTATTCCGAGACCATTGTTGATGGGTCTTTTGTAATACTTGAAACAGCTGCATGGTCAGCCAAAAATTAAACTAATTAAAATATTAAAACAATTAATATTGTTGTAGTTCACTACTTTTCGAAACCTCTCTAATAACAGTTAAAATTGTTAATTGTTAAAATCTAACAATTTTTATCAAAACAACTAAGTGTTTTGTAAAATGTAATACAAATATATTACAAATATATTTTCATCTAAAATTAACGTTATTAAATCTTACATATCTGTAAAATTGATTATAATTGGTGTTGTGCAAATAACTGGGATTATTGAGTTATTATAATAAAGATAGTTTTATGAAAACCGATTCAAATGCAAATATTATTTAGAGCCTCAATATATAATCAGTAGAACTTTTATTTAAGCCATGTTTGCATTAAAACTTATAAATATTTCTATATGCGCTCAGATATTAGTAATTATTTTAATTTGAAAATTAGTTGACAATACTTCTTAACTGTTTCTTTTTTGATTTCTTTTTTAAATATTATATCAATTCCTGGTCCATTATTTGGACTTAATAAATTATAAAGAATAAAAATTGTACTGATAGTGTGAGTTAAAATCATAAATATACTACTTTAATAAAGTATTTATTATTTCATTGATAATCTCTTACTTGGTGAGTGATGATGTGCAGCCTTCTCTGCATGAACTCCATGAACAATTTTTAATACCTTCTGCATAGACATGATCAATCACAATACATGTAACAGGCACTGGATCGTAGTCTGCAATAATTGTTGATATTGCAGGATCGACAACAAATGGAATTAAGAATAAAAATGCGAAAACAGATAAAATAGCCGTTGTACCTGTAAAAATAAAATAAAAATAAAAATAAAAATAAATATTAATTTATTAATTTATTAATTAAAACACAAAAACGTTTTGCTTTAAATTTACCAAGACAAACTGATGTGTAAAACTTTGCTTTTTCCAGTATGGTTTCAATCTCGAAATCATCCTTCTTGCCTCTAGATGGTGGTATAGAAGACTTACTCGATTTACTACTATTGAGACTTATCTTGCTGCCTGTTAAACTATGTGCTGATAATGTCGATGGACTTGTGGGCAGCGACATAGTAGTTGTAGCTGTCGAACTTTTCTTCATTGGTGCCATATAATTACGAACGAGGGGTGTGTCACACGAAAAACGATTTCTAATAAAAGCGTTCCTTAAAACCAAATAATATGCTTACGTTTTTGTTTTTTGTTATAAAAAGCGCTGCGTTTTATTTATATAAAATATTGCTTAATTACTTAATTTTGTTTTTAGAATATCTCAATTTTTATCTGCCATATTTAATTGGGTTTTAATTAGAAATCGAACACAAATTTTCTAAAAGTTTTTTTTTGGAAGTTGTTTCCCGTTTAATTTGTTCCTTGTTTTTTAAACATACACGGTAATATATATTTAATAATCTTACTGACTTTGTATGTATAATTTTATATTTTATTGATATACCAAAATGTTTTTGTTGAATTTGTTATTTTATATATAGCGCTATTTTTAATTATTTTATATATTATATATTTTGGTTTATTTTAAGTTAATCAGTAATTATAATTAATATTTATCTAAAGGATTGTTTTGTCGGTTTCTTGGTTTTAGACCGTTTTCTAGCCTTTACTATAATTTTTTTCTTGTCGTCTAATGTTTTTTTTTTGTGAAATATTTTAAAATCTTATTTTTGAGTTTTAAAATTTATATTTTATTTTTTTTTATCACGCATCCCTCTAAACCGTTTGATTTTCGTTACGTATTTCGAAAGTGTATCTGTGGAAATGTGTATGAGTGTTTTGAGCGTTCAACTAATTTTAATTGTAAAAAACTAAACTATAAAGTGGAAGTTGATTTCCTAATAAAAATTTCATTTAATATTATGATTTAAACAATTATAAAAATATTTATTTTTAAAGCTAATATTGTCTGAATCGTATATAAAAGTTACAAATATAGTAACAGTGTTTTTTCTTGAAGTTTTTTTTCTTGAAGTTTTTTTTCTGTTTTGAATGTTTTGTGTTTGTGGTTATTGCAAGCTTTTTTAAGTGATGAATTTATTAAGTTAAAAAACACGAAGTAATAATATGCAAATTCTTGCTTTTGAAGTAATTTAATTAATTAAATTATTGTAATGCAAAAACACCAGCTTGATGAGTTGGACTGTCTTCTTGTAGTAGAGGAATGCCTGAAATTAAACAAAAATACTGTTAAGTATAGAAATAAAATATATGATAGTTCTGGCGTTCTTTCAGAGCTCAATACTACAATTATAGTGAAAACTTTTCACTATTAGAATATTTCAATATATTCACTTGAATTTTATATATATAATTTATATGATTACTGTTTATTAATAATAATATTAATAGTGTATTTTGATTAGTCATATACTCATAATCTGTGTTCTTTAAATATTTGTTCTTATTTGGATTTAATTAATCGTATATGCTATAGGAAATACCAGCACCAATGTTTGAATTTGAACCTTTCCAAATTTAAAACACTTAGCCATGTTTAGCCAATTGACTCTTTTTTGTTAATTTCTTATTATTTTGGTTTCAATTTTATCAGTTGTTATTATTTTTGTTATTTTAGTTTTTATTGGTTTCTAAAAAATTAATTTTTCGTGTTATATTATAGCAAACGCTTCAATTAAAGCTATATATGCTTGTATTAATTATTATGGTTCTGTTGTAAGATACCAGTGTTATCCTGTTCAGAATAGTTTTTATTGAATTTAAATTAATTTATTAAAATTAATTTAATATTTAAAATGTTAAGTGCTAATCATTTTAATTTACTATTTAAAGATTGTAAAGTATTAAATTGTTAATTGGTTACTTCGCGATTTAAATATATATTTTAATGAATTTCAGATAAATAGGCTTAAAAAAATATAAGTGGTATACTTGTATATATTTGCTTGAAAAATTCGTTAATCGAATACTATATATTTCCAGTTAATTTATTTTGTTGTTACCACTTTACACTATTATTGTTTGTAATTTCAGTAATAGTGGCCATAGTTCAGTAGATAGTGAATAGTGACAATTCAATAAACACCGAATATGATCACAGTTCAGCAGCAATTATTTATAAATCACAGTCAGTCATTGTGATCATAGTAACAATTGTGTAGCAAACAATGATTGCGACCACAGTTCAGTAAACGGTGATTGAGATGATAGTTCAGTAAACAGTGATGTGATCATAGTTCAGTTAACAGTGATTGTGATCACAGTTTAGCAAATAGTGATTGAGATTGCAGTTCAGTAAACAGTTGTTGTAATCACAGTTCCGCACAGTAGCCACTTTGCCACAAATTGTATGTAAAAATAATATATATATACATATATATATCTATATATAGGTATATACATATAAAGTATATAAATATATATATATAGGTATATATATATATAAAGCATATAAATATTTTAATTGTAAGTATAAAAATAATTAATATAATTGATGTTTTGTGGCAAAGGATGAATAATTGTGGTAAAGGAGGTCTTTAAAAATTTTAATTGCTCAAAAAAATTTGTTTTACTATATAATACACAAAACGATACTAAAACAAAAAACAAGATAACTTATTACATGAACCAACTTTTTCATACATTTTACAAGATATTACAAAAACAACAATAACACACAGAAATCGTTTCATTTTTCTGTTTAAAAAAAAAACACCCGACGTTTTCAAAAATAATAGTTATTTTTGAATTTCTTGTTTGTAAGGCAAAAATAATAATTATTTGAGTCTATGAGTCATTTGTGTGTGAAACAGTGAAAGTCACATAAAAATAATTAGTTTTGAAAAATATATAAAGAAAATTAATATTAAATTAATATTTTTTGTGTTTTACTTTAAAATGCGAATGATAAGAGTGATTAATTAATTTTTATTTTTTTCATAATAAGTAACAGTTCGTGCATCATACTGATTCTTGGATCACAGTTTTACTCATCTCTTCTATTACCTCCATTGCTTAATTTTGTTTTTAATTTTTTGAGTTGTTACGTAGAAAATATTTTAAAGTCGGTTTTGTTTTTTAAGGTTTCAATTCCTAATATAAGGAATTCTCCTGATGAAGATAAAAGCGAATTTGCCAAAATATGTATAGTAATATACAAAAAATATGATCGAAATAAAAGTTATAATTCTAAAAAACAAAACCGACTTTATCACTCCATTGTCACTAAGTCAATATTCCAATGATGTATATAACCAAATGCTATAAAATTTGGTTTTCTATGAAACATCCTTGTTAAATAACTTGTATTCAGATACTAGTACCATTCTATATATTTATATATATTAAGATTACTGGTCTTTAATGACATAGAAAAGAAATTAAAATAAATTTTACACTCGTAATTATTTATTTTCTTAAAAAAATATTTAATATATAAAACTAATTTGCTTATAAAAATAAAGAAGTTTTAGTTAAAGGACATTCTCAATTAGTCTTTTATTGCTTAAATAGCAATGAAGTAAAATGTGAAACATATTTTTACGTTCATGCAAGCATTTGTTAAGATTTGGCGCAAATAATAAATTTTCTGAATACAAATTATACCCATTGGAGCACCAAAACTGGACCGAGCTTAGCGATAAATAAGCAAGAAAGTGTCCTGACATAAAAACTGTTTTATTTACACACTGACACATTGACACTGGCTGGCATGGCAATTGTTTTCGTACAAATTTTGTACAAAATTTGTAGAGAAAAATGGCGTAAAACATGCGATTTAAGTTGACTTAAGTACAAAGGACCTAAAATATCCTGCGAGTAGTGACGCAATAAAAGCAGAAAAATTAAAGTAATTTTATGCTGCGCCAAAATTCACTGCTTACCGAAAATTTCAAAGAAATGAAAATAAATATAATAAAGGAAAAAACAATGACGCATTAATAAATTACATAAATTAGGACACTCGTATCGTTTGAAATTGATTGTATTGATATTATAAGGGAAAATAAGATTTTTGCCTTGGATAAGATTATCCTCGACATAAAACTAATCACATATGCGTTTCAATAAAAATATGTCTTTAGCGTATTAATATTGAATAAAAGTAATAAAATGTTTTTTAATCTTACGTGACGGATCTCATAGTGCCATAACTTCGTCACCGCCTCCTCCACCAGTATCGCCCAAATTATTTTGTGAGCCCATGTTATTTTTAGCTAATATTGTGTCCGTATCCACACAGCCTTTAAATCGCATTTTCGCATCATCCCCCACATAAACCGTTTTTTGACATAACAATAGCACAAGACAGGACACAACGAAGAGAACTGATGGTACTATTGAAGCAACAACAAATTGCCTGTAAGTAACTTCCAAATCGAAACGTGCAACAACAATATCCTTCTTTAATGGTGAATAAAAACATGGAAAGCGTGCTCGGGCATTGTGATCGCTACCATCGCGTCCGAAATCCTTAAGAAATTCTTTGCATTCATCCATCAGCGTATTTACGCAACCTTCCAAATTAATCATTAATTTTGATTCATTGGATATGGTCAAATCGACATCAGGTGGTGCAATTTCTGGAATTGGTACAGCAACAGATGCATGCAAATGACTGAGATATGTAAAGTTTGTCAAATCAGTCAACATATTGTGTTCCAGTGTGGAGCCATTTATGCAATCAACAGCTTCCACTCTATCTGATGTATTTTTAATGAAATAACATGAGGTCATTACTACATTATCAGCAGATTCATTCCAAACTTCCTCTTCGGTATCTGCATTTATTGCATTTTGACACTGCGAAAGATACACCTTATCGCCACTTAGTACCACAACATTTTTATTACGAGTTGGTATATCCACACAACGTCGATCACAGTTGTATGGCGTGCGTATTTTCCTACATGTGCCACGATTGCATGAGAATAACCCACTTATATCCATGCAATTTATTTTACCACGCCGCCCGGAACACTTAACTGGTGAATCACTATTATGAAAGACACATTCAAATGCATCCGTTATATTCAGACACTGTCCTGCGGTGCAATTAAAAGTACCTGTCAAATTTTTGCATTCATCATTGATGCAACGCGCTTTATCGGCACGGTCCTGATCAATGCCATAGCATGTTTTATTCGCTGAGTTCGTACAATTTTGGAAGGTAATGTTAGTGCCATTATTACGTAAATTCACATAGATTTGTATGCAGGCGCCCGAAGTTTTACTCAGACACCATTCACCACACGAACCCCATTCACAGTTGTCCTTGTTGACAGCACGTGTTGTTGTGCACATGACTGGAGTTGGATCGATACCACTTTTGAAAGCGCGCGTTGATGGCATATAAATGGCAACTGTCAAGTACACCAATGCCACCGAACTGAGCACAAGTGTCATTTGACATACGCATATAGTGCCACATATGCGATTATCTTGCGGTGGCACAATTAAATCTTCGCTGGGCACTTTTTTCTTGCCCATTTCGTTAATGTATTACTATGTTTAGGATAGTATTAGAAAAGTGCTAATAGGGCGGGATAGAAGAAGTTAGTAAAAAAGTAAAAAATTGCCTTTTTGGCAATGCAGGTATATACGTCTAACGTTATACCTTTTAAACTAATGGCATTAAGGCATTAGGGTACCCTCATATTGGTTTGGCGAACATATCTATGGCAGCTAAAACAGAGAAAATCGTAGGAAATCTTTTGATTACTTTTATTTTTCTCTTATTTTTATTATCGATTAAGCGTGATTGTGTTTTGCTGAGTTGAGGTTATGCGATTCACTTTTAATGGCTGTGGCTCAGGTGGCCGCCGTCATTTGATTGAGCGTTTCAACTTATATAACAAAACTGCTTATTGCGTGAAATATTAAAAATTTTTCATTTCAATTTTTACTCTCATTTAATTCAATTATTTAATAAACTTTTATTTACAGCTAATGACGTTTTAATAAAATTTAGAATGCAATATTTTGCAGTATTGATTTTTATTAGCCTGCTGCCTTGCACTACTTTCTACTGCAAATACTGAATTTTTTTTAATTGAGCATTTATTTTTCATTGAACGGAACTTTATGCGAATAACTGCAATATGTTTACTTATATATTTTTATATTTTGTTATATTTATTAAAATATTAAATTTTTTAATATTTTATTTGAACTTGAACACTTTTTCTGTTTTTTTTTCAAACATTTTTATTGCTATTTTGTTCCACTCAAATTTTTGTTGCAGTTTTTCCTCAGGCTATACTGGCAACTAAATTACTTTTTTAGTTCGTTGTTACAGATTTGTGACGTCCCGACCATCGACAATGTGTCGGATATATGCGAAAGGTCTGTGATATTTTGGCACGAGTAACACCAAGAGATTTTTATATTGCAAAAGCTAAAATCAAATCAGTGCGCGCGCACCCCATACAAAAATCAATAAAATTTTATTTCTCTCATAAGGTTTTG